TATATATATATATATATATATATATATATATATATATTGCATTATTTTTATGCCAAATTCATATTTTATTCATGATTTTTTATTCCTTTTATTTATTTCAGCAATCTATTATAATATTTTCAACCAAGAGCGCATGTTTCACAAGCATTCACAAACTCCGGAAGTCCATAAGCATTCAGTAAAGAACAAAAATAAATATCTATAAATCAATAGCCTGTATAATTTTATCATATGATTTCAAAACGTGCCTTAGAAAATTATGCATCGAAAAATTTTACGCTTTTCAAACTAACCGTTTCAGAAATATCCTCGAAATCTTTACTCCTATTAAAATAAGAAATAAAACAGTATTTGAAAGAGCAAACCTCACTACAATTGATAAAGAAATCAATAAGAGATGGTGAGATGGGCAGGTCACATACTAAGAATACCAAGAAAGAAATTAGCATACTTTTGCTTTTTTTCAGCCCATGATGGCAGAAAAAAAATGAAGCTCAAGAATGACTTAGCAAATGGATTTGAACAGGACAAAGTTTAAAGGGTAAGAGGAAGCTAGATCATTAATCAAAATCAAAGAAGCATGGAGAATTGACTTAATAAGCTATAATAAATAAGTATTTAAAAATTTTTTAAAACTACAATTACAGGCTCGTTTGTGGTTCCAGGGTAGTTTTAACAATTTTCTCTGATTTTCGTAACTGAAGGCATAAATTTTATTATAAATTTTCTTAGTTCTGTCTCATTTAAATACATAAGATATAAAGTAATTTTACTAGCTAGTAAAGTTGGAAATTAACAATTATCATAAGAACAAAACAAACATATTAAATTAAAATATTTTCTTGTAAAGTAAACAAAGAGGTAACTAAACAAGCAAATTACATGAAAAGAGTCAGTTAGCAAAGGAGCCGTTCAAATATTGCGTAAACGAGCATTTGACTCCCCCTTGTTAGCAAAATTAAGCAAATCTCACCTTGATTTTCTCTTTAACTGTAGTAACCTATTTTAGGATATTATCTTTGCATAAAACAGATTTGTATTAGTTAAAAATTAAAATATTTGTTAGGAATCATTTGGTTTTAACTTCTGCAGTCAATCCGTAAACTTAATTTTATTTTCATTTAGAAATTTTTGTAAATTTTAGTTAAAAATTTTATTGCAAAATTGAAAATAAGCTGATTTTAATGTCTTGCGTTAACATTGATTTTTTCTACCTCCCTTCCAACTCATTGTCAGTAAAAAAAAAAAGAAAAAAAGAAAAAAAAAAGCAAATCCGAAATCCCCTTTCCAGTGTTAAGTGCCTACGTAACATTTGGCGGGCCTCAAAGAGAACCTCGAACTCAAATTAATTTTCTTACCATGATTTTTTGATACTTTAATTAAATCTCAAAATACAGTTGGGCCTCTATTTAACGAAGTCTCTAAATCCCGATAAAAAATTCGTTATATGGAAAATTCGTTAAATAGAAAATCACCACTTGAAATACGTAACACAAAACATGTTTTAAATTCGTAAACACTAGATATAATTAAAAAAAAAAACAATTTATGCACCTTTATCTTGTAAATTATTATCTACTATCGATAATGATTATCGATAATGATATCTACCATCGATAATGATATCTACCATCGATAATAATATCTGCTATCGATAATGATATCTACCATCGATAATAATATCTACTATAGATAATGATTATCGATTATGATATCTACTATCGATAATGATCTTAACATTTCATCCTACGAATGTTTGGTGATTTCTTCATCATTTCTGTCGTCATCTTTCTCACAATTTATGACTGTATTGCTTTTATTTTTCACACTATCCAAAAAATATCCGATTCAGTTAATGTTTCTGTGGTTGCAGCTTTAGAATCGATAAAAAGAAAATCATTAATCAGTACATCATCGTTAATTTTGCGGTTCTCTCTTAGCTGTACCCATATTTTTTTGAAATTCTTCTAAAGGAATATCAAACTTCTCCCTCCGCGCTGACTAAAAATCCAGTTTTAGCAAAACTGTTACCGAATAGTACGATCTGTAACATCGTAATTCCATGCTTTAGAAATTTCTGTGATGCTTTCGCGTAAATTGATTTTTGGCGTGGATTCGTGTATGAAATGCAAACAAAAAGGGAAAGGGATTGCTTTTTCTAAAAGTGAAGTGGATGCTAAAATCAATTGAAGGTCATCTCCCCCGTAAAATAAGTTAAAATCCAGATTAGTTTAACCCAAATTAATTCAAAAATCCAGTTTTAGCAAAACTGTTACCGAATAGTACGATCTGTAACATCATAATTTCCTGCTTTAGAAATTACTGTGATGCTTTCGCGTAGATTGATTTTCGGCATGGATTCCTGTACGAAATGCGAACAAAAAGGGAAAGGGATTTTACTGCTTTCCCTAAAAGTGAAGTGGATGCTAAAATCAATTCAAGGTCATTTCCCCAGTAAAATTAATTAACAAATTTGAAATATTCTTAAATATTTTGGAAGACAAAAGGGAAAGTGGATCTCAAAGAAAAGTTCGTTGAATAGAAAATTTACTTCGCTATATAGAAGTTATTTTAGGAAAAAATTTAAAAATGTTCTTGGTCCCTCGAGAGAAAAAATATCAAAATGGAAGTTCGTTAAATAAAAGTCCGACTGTGTTTCGCCTTTCCTTTTTCCTTAGATCAGGGGTTTCCAACTTACATGAGGTCGGGGGCCACAATTAAAAACTCAATTCAAATGGCGGGCCGCAACTTTATCTAAATTTTATGTAGGACTCTTTTATGCTTGAAGGAACATAAATCGAAATTTTTACCAAGTTGTACAAAACAAAAGTATTGAATTACAAATTAAAATAAGAAGTAAATTTTTAAAAATATTTAAATGCATATTAAAAAATTCGGGCTACAATAACTTTAATGTGCACCCATGTTTCAAACAATTAATGTGCAACAGATATCTAATTTTTAAGATATAAAACTTTAAAAAGGTTGGTATTAAAACTTACAGAGTAGCACACAAAATGTTCAATGACAAAATTGAGGTTTGTCTGCTGCAACCACCAGAGAATAGATATTTACATTTTAAATTTAAAATTTACAAATGTGTGTGTAAATATTTTCATCCAAAATGAGTGGTTTAAAAAAGTTAAATCAGAGAATTTCTCTCGGAAAAATTTCTGATACACACATGCTAAATTATATTCTCAAAATACAAAAAAAATGAAATAAAAAAGATCAACATACAAGATTATTCTCAAAATACAAAAAAAAAAAATGAAATAAAAAAGATCAACATACAAGATTATTTTTTATTTGAATAAATATTTTCTTGGATGCAAAACCTGAGAAATAATTTTTTTGTACAGTTGGAGAAAAGTATTTTAAACCCATATAGATTTTTTTACGAAAATTGTCCGCATAAAAATGCACTAATATATTTTAGTTCGCGGGCCACAAAAAAAGGCTTTGCGAACCCGTATGGGCCCCCCGGACCGCCAGTTGGAAACCACTACTGTAGATAGATAAAGTTTCATGATTTTTCCTTATTCTAAGGTCACCCTTGCAATTTTTTAGTAATTTTACGTACATTTAAAGCTTTTTACAAACTCCAAAATGACTCCGGCATTAAGCTAGTATGGATTCTTCTCTTTAAAGTGTTCTTTGTGATGATCTTAGCGTTTAAAACAGCCACTATAAAAAGTTGGGAACAAAACAGCAATGCTAAAAAATTGGAATCTGTGTATAATAAGAAAAAGGTTTATGTGCCCATTTAACCCGAGTCAGAATTGTAATCAAATAACTTGTCTACATTCACCATCGGATATCTTATCTTCATCTAACAACCACGAGGAAGAGAACTCATCTTAGTGTTTACGTTACTCCCAATTACGTCTTATAGAGGTCTTATTTTTGATAAACAGTTGGTTAAGACAGAAAAGATGATTTATTTTTCCATAGTTTACATATCGAATGGTTGGAAGTGGTGATGCCAAAAAAAAAGTAAAGAAAATAATAGCTTTTTCTCAAAGGCTAAGCCACTGAAAGATCAAAGGTCAGTCTGTAGACCTTGGAAGCTAATTCGGACATATACAGGGAAAATAAGATTAAGAAAAAGTACCTTTGTATGGATAAATAAAAGAAAACCATTAAAAAATTTAGTATAAGTTTTGCATTACACTTAAATAAAAGAATACGAGCTTCACCATGTGAAATTTTATACGTTGATCAAAGGTATTGATAATATTTAATCACTGATTGACATTCTGCACTCAAAATGCTAGTTTAAAATACATGCATAAATGGATACATAAAATCTTTCTTAAAATATTTCTCCGCATAAAAGCAAGCTCTAATTTTTAAATTGAAAAAGTCACAACTTTAAAAGCAGATATTACGGCAAATCGACGAATATTTGTCAGGTTTTTTAAACTTTGTTACTCTGACAAGTTCCCGAGGCAAACAATAGAGGACGCTCTTTAAGAGCGTTGTGGAAGAAAGTTCCAACTGAGATTTTTGTGAATTCAGGAGCATCTGTTATAAGATATTTTGCAATATCAAATAGCTATTCACAAAACACATATATCAACTAAAAAACAATTTATGAATGCTGAAAAAAAGAATCAAACGCGACTGAAAAAAAATGAAATTCTAGACACATCTTTGATCATAATAGTTCCTTAAATTTCGTCACTTTACGTTCTCGAACCAAACAGTAGAGGATAATATTGAGGAATTGATAATAATCACATATTTTAACCAAAAGCCATTGTGTTCAAAAATACGGCAAGGAAAAAAATGGTGAAAATCAAAATTTCAACTTTTCTTTAAATTTTGATACCCTGACAAGTTATCGAACATATATATATATATGTAGATCGTACCAATTCTTTAAATTTTATCAACCTGACAAGTTCCCAAACCTAACAATAGAAGATAATATTGAAAAGCTTAGAAAAGAAGATTCTAATAAACGTTTTAATTAATTAACATGAGTTACAGAATATTTTATAACAGCTAATATCTATTCTCAAATTGCATTTTTCAAGTGAAAACCATCTGATTTCCGGACATGGAAGAAAAAAAATTCTGGATATACAACTAATCATAATATTTATTTAAATTTTATGATTAGAAGAATTTTTTGATTAAGTAGTTCTACAATTTAAATTTTATGATTAAGAAGTTCTACAATCAAACAATAAAGGATAATAAGGATACTCTTAATGAAAGAAAGTTCTATTTGACATTTTAGGGAAATTCGACTCATTAATTGTTTAATATTATGCAACAGCAAATAACTATTGGCAAAAGACGTTTAATCACTAAAAGTCCCTTCGTAGAAATAAAATTTGAAGTCATTTTCATAGAAATAAAAAAAATTTAATTAAATTTCTACAGCCTGATTTAAATGTAGTGGGTGCTAGTACGGTCGTTGTAGTGGGTGCTAAAGTAAAACTGCGTCTAATGAAGTAGAAAATGTGTTTATATGTATCAGTCTTTATAACGGAATGTTCCCTGTTACGGGCGGTCATACGAAAGAGAGTAAAATGTTCTATTAACTGCAAATACGATAATTAAAAATTAGTGACACTAAAAAATTAATGTTAAAAAAAGGAATGATACAAAAAGGACAAAATTTTGTTGGTAGGAATTGAGTTTTGTTTGAGAACAACTTCGATACTTGAAACTCTGCGACATATACCACACAATGTATATAAGGTTATATGAATAAAATAAACAATGAAATTATGTAAATAACATTGAATACTAATGATATTAAAAGGTTTCGATGTGTTTAAAATAACACTAACATTATAATTTAATAATGACAACCTTCTTAAGAGAATTCCTACTGTTCTAATTCACAAATTTTAACAAAATTTCATAAGTGTGTATAGATTTTTCCTAAAGAAACTTGCATTTAAAAATATTACTTAAACAAACAATTCAAATGGTTAACTTTACAAATAATTTTAACAAAGGAGTTGTAAACAACGAGATTAAACGCTGTAATTTCAAGTGAAGAATTTGGAAACTGTAATTCCAGACCAAACAATTTAAGTAATGGACTTAGGAACCAGCTTTTCAAGGAGAATAATAACTGGTCTTTACTGTCAGAATTGGGGGATTTAAATGTAGCAAAGAATTTTCTAAACCAAAAAAAAATTAAGAAATTTATTTTAGAATCAGTAGATTAAAAAGTCTAACAACTAATCTTCAGAGTGTATCACTGCCAAATTCATTATTAAAGAATTTAAATGTAGGCAAGCAAAGAATTAAAGTACTGAACTTCTAAACAAAAAATTATGTACTTGAACTTCTCAGCAAAAAAATCATGAATCTGCAAATCGACTATGTCAGCCTTCATCTATCAAAAGTTACCTCAAGATGGATTCAAGAAAACATGTCTTATATACTAGTGAATTTGTATTTAATATTTATAGTGGTAGTTGCTCCACAATACTCCCCTTCCGGAATTTTATCTGTGATAGAATTTGATGAACGGATACCACTAGTTGATTCATGCTGCTTATTTATTTATATCAATTTTGCTCATTATATTTTTTCTTCGTTTGTATCATTTCGCTATTTTTTTTCTTCATTTTTGTTTATAAGCCGGGAGTCTTTTATTTACTTCACCGGATATTTTTTTGAGCGCTATATTTTTAGCAAATCAACTGTTTAATGTGAACAATCCATCAATGTTGACAAGTTCATATCACGTCTGGGTCACCAATGAGGGGAATTATAAATCGACTACGTCAACCTTCATCTATCAAAAGGTACCTTAAGATGGAATCAAGTTAACATGTCTTATATACTAGTGAGTTGTTATTTAATATTTATAGTGGTAGTTACGCCACAAATTTATTTCTAAACAAAAATTTTAATATTGAACTTTAAAAAAATAAAGTAGTAAAACTTTTGCTTACAGCTGGTACGACATACGGACCACATGTAATGGTGCAATTGATACACCGTAAGCAAAGGGTTAATAGTTGAATTCCAAACAAATAATCGATATACAGGACTACAAGATAAATATCTGACTTACCGGTTAAATCATTGCTGTTTCCACTTTCATTAGCAGAATCTCTCACGTGTAGCTGTCTCAAATCTGATGGAGGGGTCAGGGAGTGCAAAGATGCTGTGGGGGACACATATCCCTCGTCTTTATTATGGTTCATAAACAACTCATCGTCCATTCTCCAAAAGGGTTTATGCTCGTAATTCAGTAAGTCAGAAGTGACTGAAAATGGCGGCGCTGTTCCACTGGCATCAATTTCAGCAGGAGACAGACTCAAGTAAGTTAGCGTGTCAGCAGAACCGTAACTATCCGGATCGTTGTGGTTGATGGCGATGTTGGTATGGTCAATCGCTTGAGGGGTGTACGGCCGTGGGTCACTATAAGACCAGATACTCATGAGATCGGTCTTCACAATTCGTGATGCGTAATGAGGAGGTATTGGGAGTAGCGGTGAGACATCAGGATCGGACACTGGTGAATGTTGATTTGAGAACAAATCCATGATCAAGATGATGATGGTGATGATAGAAGATGAGATAAATACGATGACGTCATTCTATTTTTTTCTGTTATCTTCGGCTTTAGAGAGGCCTGGGAAGAAGAAGTGAGAAAGAAAGTGGGTTTTGGGGAGTAAGCAGTAGTCGTAACTAGGAACACCAAACTAAGTTGCTGCAGACCAATCGTCAGACAACTTGTATGGTTGCCACAAACAACTTACGAAATTTCGCACGGTTAGCGAAATCTGACGAGTTGTTTTTCAGCACCTTTTTAGAAATCAAATAGCATTTAAAAATTCTTTAACATAATGTTCAAATAACTTCACAGCTTAATAATTGTAGTTAACAGAAAAGAAAAATTTTATGAAATCTTAAAAAATATTGATGCTACTTTTTTATTCCTTTCAGAACAAGCGTAAATGCGCTATTGAATGAAATAGTAAGATTAATAATATATTAAAATAGAGATTGAAAGGACATTCCTCATTGCCTAGTATAATTAATTTAAATTTCATTGAATTCGAGGGAGAAAACTTTTAAATATTATGAAAGTTCATTTTAATAATAGTAAACATTACGTTAAAAATTACGCACGGGATGATACGTAAGTTTCAAGTATTATGTAAATCAATTTGTAATTATGTAGCCTTGTAATTTTGAGTCCAACCTAGAACAAAAGGGTATTCCCGGGGCAAACATTGGGATAAACTGGCCTTTTGGATTGAACTAACCCCCATTTCCGCTTAATGAATGGGAGAACCTCACACGGTTATTCTAACGGTAAGAGGAATTTAACCCCTGATCCATCTACTACTGAGGATATTTTGCTTTGGCACTGTGGTTAGTGTGCACCGGGAGATGAATTCGTATCAACCAGCCATGGGATTCGAACCTGGGTTACTTCATTTGGAAACGGCCGCTCTGTCTATTTAGCCATTACGGCTCGGGGGAAGAGGGTTTGCAATTTGCTTATTTAAGCTGACAAGAGGATATGAACAGTGCTTACATATCAGCCGGAATGACTCAGGGAACTAAGCGTTCGCTTCCCAGGCTCAGGTTCGAATATCGGTGGTGGCTGAATGATATGAATTCTGCTAATGGTTAGCACCAACTATAGTGCTGACGTAAAATATCCTCATAGGTGAGACTCTTGTCATCAGACTAATCGTGAGAATTTTTCACGGTTTTTCTCTTCATGTAGTGCAAATGTGGGTTAGTTCCATAAAAAAAAAACTTCCACAACGGCTAGTTTGTTCCAATGCTTGATCCAGAATTTCCCTTTTCTTCTGGGTTGGGTTGAAAATTACAAGGCTACGGAATTGAACATTGATAGCCTTTAGCTTAGTACTAGATCACCTGCTCAGCGCCAGTTATAAAATGAAGTAAAATGCTTATGAAACACGAAAATTCTCCTGTTTTTAATTTTTTCTTTCCGAATGCAAAAAAAAGAAAAGAAAAGATGTATAAAAAATTACAGTTGGGAAAATTTCAAAATTGGAATGAAATTTTGGGAAAATTAAAAGAGTTGGAAAAAATTCTTTTCGGTGAATTATAGAGGTCAAAAGTTTCGATAACAGAAGGAAACACATAAAAGATTCCTGAAATATTTCAATCAAAATTTTATTAAATGAATTAAAACGTAAATTTTAGTGCGGGCAAAATTACATCATTTATTTGATTTAATTCTGAAATTTAATTGCTGCTATAAAATCAAAGTTAAAGTAAAAACAAAGGGCTAGGAGGCAAGGAGTAATTCAAACGTTCTTGCACAAACATGAAGGGGCTTATAATTTTTTTTATTTCTTCTGACAAGGGAGAAGGGGAATCCGAAATTGCCAAAAATATGCTTACGTTATATTTAAATGGCCACTAATGATCAAAAATATTAGCAATGTAAAATGGAATGTATTAAATAAACTATCATAAATAGATTTTTACGAACTGATAATGAAATTATCAATCTAATTTTTTTCAAACGTTGCACTTTTTTGAATTTTGAATTTAATATTTAAATTAGTAATATTCTAAATGAGTATTTGAAGCGATAACTCTTAATAACAATTATTGTTAAAAGAAATCTTATTGAACTCAAGTAATGCACGAAAACTGTTTATATGGTAAGATGAAGTAGAATTAAATAGTCAATAGTAAATAGATTTATGAAATGTTAAAAGCTATCTATCTTACTTCTCCCAAACATACATAAATGCATTAATGAATTTATAAAATAAAATTTATAAAAAATTGATTGAAGTGACAAGTCTTGACAAATACTGTAAAAAAAATTCATCAAATTAATGCCATTAATGTCCTATAATCATTAGTAATTATATTAACAGTAAAAAATGGATTGAATTGAATGTTAATAACTATTGATCTATTTTTTTTCTCAAACAAATATGAATGCGTTATTGCAATCTAAGTGAAATAAATAAAATTATAATACAGTTAAAATCAATGCTGCAGATTCTCAAACTTTTAAAATAAATTACTGATGAAACAGTAGATAAGTGCATTTTTTTTTCCAATGGCAGGCACTGAATTTAAATCTTTGCCTATACTATGCCAGAATTGTTGCTCACTTCGCGTTACCCAATGGGCACCTGTGAACCAAAGTCACGGAGGCAAGCAACATTGCCCACGCCACACTGCCACAAACCCGTTTATAGGGTGGGCCACATTCTCACATCATACACACACAACAGAGGACAGCACAAAGAGAGACAGAAACATCCTTGCCCAGAGCGGGATTCGAATCCGCAGCCTATGGCTTCGCAGTCAGGCACGCTAACCACTCGGCCACCAGGCCGGCATAATTGCATTATTCTTATTGGACATACTGTCAGAAAGTTTATTGAATTTTAATTTGCAAACTGAATTTTTCTATATTTTTTTTTCTTTGAGGGAATTTTCCAACAAGCAACGTCTCGTAATAGATTCCACCTTGTGATCTTGAAATTTCAACTTGATGCATAATGAAATTTTTTTTGAACAAGCAACATCTTTTTTTACCAAATAAAGCAAAACAGAGGATATAAAGCACAAATTAAGTTACAGAAATCGACACTAGTTTTTGAATTCTACTAGCAAGAATCTTTCACAGAATGCTATCTAAGCACAATGAAAGTTTCTTGTTTATAGATCTTGTCTATTTGTGCTAAGACACTAAAGACGGTTCTTGTTATTGAGCCAATACTGTCAGAAAGTCCATACCTGTATTTGTACTTAATCCATACCTGTATTTGTACTTAACGCAGGTTATTTTCCTTTATACAGACGTAGCACAGAGTTTACCCTATTCTCATTTGGAGCTTCTTGTACTATTATAGTTTTATAATTGTGCCAAATTTTGAAACTTGAAACTACTTATTTTTTGCATAAAATGTTAGTCCAAATGTTCGCCTATATTTTAACACTGGGAGACAACACCCATAATACGTCACTCATGCTATAACTTTTTTTTTAGGAAAAGTTTTTCTGCATATTGTCACAAACAATTCCAAATACTATATTTCCAATTAATTTCTTTTCTTATTTTTTACTATTAAATTTTTATTTAATTTTTTTTCTTACTGAATTCTTATTCTTTTCTATTAAATTCTCCTTTTTTTCTTTTAACTTCTTTTTAATTCCTTTCTTATTAAATTCTTTTACTTTTTTTATTGAATTCTTCTTTTTAAAACCATTATATTCTTTTCCTTATTAAATTACTTTTATTTCTTCATATAACATTCTATTTTTCCCTGTTAAAATCTTTTCATTTACTTATTTCCTGTTAATTTTTTTTTCTGTCCTTATTAAATTCTTTGTTAAAAATTTATTTTGAAATTTTTTTTTATGGTTTAACGAAGCTTTTTTCTCGAATTTCTTGAAAATTTCACTTATCTTGGTTTAAATGTTAATGCCTTAAGCAATATAAGCAAGTAAATAAAGAGACGCAATTATAGCAGCTAATTGATTCCTTCATGACTTAAGAACATTTGTAAAGTCAAAACGAATTAATCGATGAACAAAAAATAATGCTATGTGAAACAATCATTAGACTTATCTTAATTTATGGATCCGAAACATGGTCTTTAACACTAGATTGCTTAAGGAAGTCATTTTGACTGCTTTTTCATTTGCAAAAAATGTTCAAATAATAATGCATAAATTTTTTTTTCAAGTGAAGTAAATTTTTGTTAATATTTACTAATAGCTTGTTATATAACTGTAAATAGCCGACCAGGTGACCGAGTGGTTAGCGTGTCTGACTGCGAAGCCATTGGCCGCGGGTTCGAATCCTGCTCAGGGCATGAATGTTTCCTTCTCTCTCTGTGTTCTATGTCCTTTCCTCTTTGTATGAATGTGACCCGCCCTATAAACGGGTTTGTGGTTGTGTGACGTGGGCGACGCTGCTCCACCACCGTGGCTTCGCCACAGGTACCCACTGGATAACGAGAAGAGAGTAAGCAGTTCTGGCATTACGTACATACTAAGTTTCAATCTTTCCAGTGCTAACTAAATCACAAGCAGACCTGCGTGCTGTCTTTGAGAAGAAAGTCTTGAGAAAAATTATAAATGTGGGTGACTTATAACGACAACGACATAACTTTGAGCTATCTAGACTTATTCAAGAAAGCTGATATTAACAAATACATAAGTCGTTTAAAAATTGTCACATCTGCCGTATTGTCACTTCTTCCTTGACATTTAAGATATTGAATTACAAACCAATGGGAACTAGACATAGTGGTAGGCCTAAGATCAGATGGCATGACTGTGTGGAAGAGGATTTTAAAATCTTAAGAACCACAAACTGGAGAAAAATCGCAATGAAAAGAGCAGAATTGAGGAAGGTTCTAGAGAAGGCTCTGGCCCTCAAAAGGACTGCCATGCCAATAGAAGAAGTTTTCTAATCATCACTGAGGTTGTAAAAGTCATTTGAAGGAGATGCAATTTTCATAGTTTCGTTTTTTACACAAACATGGTTTGAATTTTTTTTCTGTTTACGTATTATAAATTTAGTTATTATGCTTAATTTACATATTTTAATGCATTTATTACTTCTTTACATTATTACTTTGGTTGTAAAATTTAGTAATTTAGTGTATAAGGCAAAATAAATTCCATAGTAGTGCATTATAGCTCATTGCATAAATTTTGAATATTTCGATTTCTAAATTAAAAATTTTGTTCTTTATTCAATTAAAACTGGCTCATTTACTACCTTAAATCATTTATTTAATTGCACTTATAATTAAACCATTGGTTGTGAAGTTTATTCATCTAAATGAAAAAAAATTCATAATTATCTATGCTATGGTTTCTTACTCAAACAAAAAGAAATCAAGACTTGTTTTACCTACAGTTTTGTTATTTATTTAACTTAATTTAGATACTTTGGTGCATTTATTAAACCATTACTTTAGGTATAGTCCTTTATTAAGTTAATGATTTGGTTGGGAAATTATTTATTTGAGACACAAACAATTCCATAATTATTTATACCTTGGCTTCTTACGCAAACAATTCTGAAGTCTTACATCTCGTTTTCGTAGGATAAATAAAATAGCAAGATGAAATGCAAAATTTACAATAATATATAAAGAAAAAAATTAATTTAATAGCATAATCTCCTTATAATAAGAATTATTTTTCAAAACTCATAAAAGAAATCTAAAAAATAAGCAAAAAAAATCCTGAATTTTCATTGTTCATCAGCATCTTACATCCTAGACCTGGTGATCTGATTCTAGTAGAGATCAGACTACTTTTAGCTAATTAGAATGTCATCTGACAATTAAGATTTAGTCTTCAGAGGGTGTTTATTTTGAAATATTAAAAAGGCTGTTACTCAAGTTACTTAAAGTATCAATAAATACAAGACAGAAAAAATGCAGCGTTCATTTCTTTATTCAAACAGTATAGAAATAGAAAATAATTGCAATTTGTATACAGAACGAGGTACGGACTTGACATACAAATATGAGAATTCTTATTACTTCACTTCTGATCACATAATATACAAGTATAAAAAAAGAAAACAGTTTACAAAAATCATGTACAGTATTTACATAAAAAAAAAGAATGAATAGTATCTGAACAGGAAACTCTCTATTAAAGGCTGTAATCCCTCTGGATATAAGGCAAAAATTATTTTCTGAATTTTCATAACTTTTAAAAATAACTGTTCAAAGATTATCTACTTTCCAAACTCATTTACATCTTTAAGAAACTCAAGTTTGAAAAGAAAATTAAAATACTATTTCTGTTCTTAGAATAATTTTCAAACGTCTTATTCTTAAATTCCTTATTTGAAAACAAAAATTAAAGTTAAGCCAAGAAAAAACTAACTTACAAAAGCACTGTTTATAGAATATTTTTTTAAAAGAAAAAAAATTACTATTCTTAAATTTTTTGTTAAGAAAGAAAACTTGAAAGTAAACTGAAACTGAGCTGAATTTACACTGAAAGTTAAGAAATAAAACTTGAAATGGCACTATATCACAAAAAAAAAATGCCAGAAAGCTCTAAACTTGAAAGTAAGTTATAAAAAAATTAAAAAAATTACTCTGTTGCTAGAATTATAATTTTAAAAACCCTATTCTACCATTTTGCATTCAAACTGGAAAAATTAAAAAATAGAGCATGAAAAAACTATTCCATTAACTACGTATTTTCTTCTTGAGAAAAATACTAATAATAAAAATTAATAAAACACTTTCTCCTTACACTGTTAATAAAAAAACATATATTTAAAAATGAGACTAGTTATTTTTAATTTCTTATTTTTACATTTTAAAATAATATGCAAGGGAAAAAAATATGAGCACCATAAATAATATAGGAAATGACAGCCACAAAGCAGATTTCATATTATTATGGAACACAATATTTGGCACTAAATCATACTTTGGCGAAATCATTGGCATTAAAATATTGAAGATATTAGCACCACATAACATCTTATCGAATGAGAGTATAAACTGAGAATATAATAATTGCTAATTGTTCCACATCTTTTGATAAGTAAATACATCTTTTTGTATGAGTGTGCGTTTATTTAATTTTTAAATATGTAAATATACATTTCTATACAAAAAAAAATTAGTAATCTTTCTGCTGAGACTGACTTTAAACTAAGTACTCTCAAAAACTACAGAATCATCAGTGATAACCAATTCTATAAAAAATATATATACAAAAAATTCTCATATGAAAAATATGCTATCACAGTTTTTGTTTTTTCATATTTTATCTATATGTATCATAAAAAAAAAGTATTTACAAACAAAATTGAGAATCACTAACTCATTCAGAGGGTACAGCTTTTAAAAGAATATGACTATGATTTTCAAAATGGTCACTAAATTTCAGAGAATTTTTTAAACAACAAATATAAACTAATTGAAATAACTGTAATTAATCATGGAGTATATTTGAGTTAAAAAATTCATGAATTGCACTTATCTTGCAAAAATTGTGCAAGATTTGGTAGATTTGTATTTACCTTACATGGACGAGTAAAAAATGCATGTATTTTTATTAAAATAATAGCTTTTTATAGCACTTATTGGCATTTAAAGATAACATCTCATAAAAAAAATTTGACATTTAATAAATATAGAATATTTTGGCACTTATTGACATTTAAAAAAAATAGCATCTTATGTCATTTATTAACATTTAAAACAATAGCATCTGATGTCATTTATTGACATTTAAAAACTATAAAAATTTCTGGCACTTATTGACGTTTAAAAAATAGTATTTCATGGCACTTATTGGCATTAAAAATAGCACTTTAAGTCACAAAAATGCAGTCAAGCTAATACAAAAGAATATCAATTGTAAGTTTATTAGTAGAAAATTTTACTCGCCTTTGTAAGAAATGCAGAAAAAAAAAAAGAAATACATCACTCGGAATAACTTTTGCTCTAAAAACCGGATTTTCACAAAATTAAAAGCTTATCTTAATGTACCAAAGAGGTAACCTCAAATATGTTAATCTATTAGCACAAACAATATCTTATATTACAAAATCTGACACAAAAACGAACTTTCCCTGAATAAACACACCTAATTTTCTATAAATTTAGATATTTGAACTCAAGAAATATGAACCCAAAGAAGTTGGGACTCAAAATGCCAATCTTTACTTTTCACATATCTCGCTATCTCATAGTCATTTTTAAAATTAATCAAAACATTGTTGAGGCGATTATAAAACTAGTTCATCCACGTAAAAAAATATTTTTTAATGGTAATGCATTGTTTTATTTAATATTGCTCAGAAATGCTTTGAATGGTAAAGTATACGCATTGTTAAACCATTTTTAACCATGCAGCTTTAAAAGACAAAAAAATACAAAATTTAAAAGAAATTGGTATAATAGTTCTTGAAAAGTAAACCTTTAAAAAAAATAACCTTTTTAAATTTTTGTTACTCAGAAATTATACAAGTTATTCCTTTCAACATTTTATATTTTCACTTATAATTACTAAATAGCCTCAACTCTTTAATTAAATTTCTTAATAAATAAANTTGTTAAACCATTTTTAACCATGCAGCTTTAAAAGACAAAAAAATACAAAATTTAAAAGAAACTGGTATAATAGTTCTTGAAAAGTAAACCTTTAAAAAAAATAACCTTTTTAAATTTTTGTTACTCAGAAATTATACAAGTTATTCCTTTCAACATTTTATATTTTCACTTATAATTACTAAATAGCTACAATTCATTAATTAAATTTATTAATAAAAAAATTTTGTTAATTAAATTTATAAATAAATAAAATTTGTTAATTAAATTTATTAATAAATAAAATTTGCAAATTAAATTTATTGATAATTAAAATTTGTCAATTAAATTTATTAATAAATAAAATTTGTTAATTAAATTTATTATTAAATAAAATTTGTTAATTAAATTTATTATTAAATAAAATTTGTTAATTGAATTTATTAATAATAAATTTGTTAATTAAATTTATTAATAAATAAAATTTGTTAATTAAATTTATTTATTATTTAAATCTGTTAATTAAAATACTAGATAATTTAGGATGGAGCAATCGAGAAATTCTCTTCCAAAAATCTGTTTGCATTTTGATGTTTTGAATTTATTTTCAGCGTATGGCTTACTCTAGGTTTACCTGTACTCATTTTCTCTTTCTCTTAAGATAGTTCAAAATCAAAATCTTTCCAAAAAAGATCTTTTTACTCAGATAAGTACATTTTTGTACTTGATTTTGTAACTTAAAATACCGTGTGCTCTATAAACTACCATGTTTGATGTCATTCCTTTAAATCATTAACATTGGCAATCAGTTTGCTAAAATCTGATTATTAGTACAAAAGTTACTCTCAAATGAAAGAACAGAAGTTACTAGTAATCTTTAAAACAAATTTTTTTTTTTCCAAAATCACTTTGTAAAAATAACATTGTAAAAATGTCCCTTCACGAAAATGCAACCAGTTTTTTTTTCTCATGAAAACGATAATTAAAATCTACTTCATCCTGTAAAATGACTGAACGTATAGGTAGTGTCAAAAGGAAATGGGTTCAAAAACCCATGGAGGGACGGGAGAACTTGATAGTTGCCAGGGTCCTCAAAAGAGACATATCGATCATTGTATGGAGGTGGTGGGTGCGACGGTATAGTCAAAGGTTGAGGCATAACTGAAAAAGAAGACTCAAAATTAGAATCTGCTGCCACCTGTAGGCACAATTAGGTACTATTAAAATAATTTGGGTACAATTAAAATAATTAAAATAATGCAGAAATCAGAAATTATTTTTATCTTGTACTTATGACAGTAAATTGGTGCAACACTAGCCTGTAGAATGTGTGGATACTGAAGGAAAATCTTTAATCTAAACACAGAAAGTTGTTTCTCAAAGCCATTGATAGAGGGCTAATATAAGATTTAATTTGATCCAGAAGTTTTATGAATAGGTACAGATATAATAAATAAAATAATACAGAAATCTTATATTGTTTTTATTCTGCACTTATGACAGTAAACTGTTGATGTAACAGTAGCCTGCAGAATGTGGATACTTAGGGAAAATATTTAATCTAAACTCAGAAAGTTGTTCTTTAAAGCCATTAACAGATGGCTATTATAAGATTTAATTTCCTCTGGAAGTTTTATGAATAAGTGCAATTATAATAATTAAAATAATACAGTTTTTTTTTTATTTTGCACTTATGAAAGTAAACTTCAAATTGATGCAACAGTAGCCTTTAGAATGTGTGGGTACTCAGGAAAAATCTTTAATCTAAACTCAGAAAGTTGTTTCTCAAAGCCATTAGTAGATGGCTATTATAAGATTTAAATTAATCTAAAAGTTTTATGAATTAAAAATATTTTTAATAGCTAATTCTAAGTAAAAAAAATGTTTCTCAGCTCTTGTCAACTTTTGAATTGCAATTCATGCAAAAATAAACCACTTCTCGGTGAATAAAATGTATTTTATCTTATTTCTTGCAGATTAGATAAATGTAATTAACAGCAGCCAAGAAATGCTTCTATGATCAGCACATTAACAAAGAAATTGGAAAATATGCTATCTATTATATTAGAGAGAGATGTTCTTTTTTTTTTATATTTCAATTTTTAAAAAAATTAAGAACAGCATATGAATTAATTAAGAAGTACAACTATTTTTAGAGCCAGTACAAGAAATATATTTCCCCAAATCTTAGGTTTATATCAAATAGGTATATGTCAAATCTATAGTGTAAGTTTATGAGGGAAATCTAAGGTTCTTATCTAGGTACAATCTAAGTCTGTAAGGCCCTTACAAAGATCTACTGCAGCCCATTGGGTGAAAAAAGGATAAAATTGCAGTTAAGAGGTCAGAAAAAATTTGTTAAAAGTAAAATAAATAAATAAAAAGAATTGAAAACAAATCTTTTTTTGTCTGTAAAAACTCAGAGGAAAAGAAACTTAAACTTCTACTAACTTATAATTTTTTTCAAAAATGTCAAATGAAATATTATAACCTACCTCTGTTTGACGCAGTGCTTGTACTAGGTGCTGGTACTGAAGAAATCGCTTCTGCTACAGCTTTTTTCTTAGCTTCAGCATTACGTGGTTTTCGTCTCCTTGTCTGAATGGTGTCTTTTCTCATGCTTTTTGGTCGCTTCCTCTGAAAAAACAAAAACGAAAATTATTTTTTATTTCTTCACTAAATAGCACATGTAAAAACTAAATTAACATTTCCATTTACTTCATTACTTAGTTTTTTAATTATTAAAAGCTTTATTATATCCTATTTAAACTATTAATTCATTACACTAAGATTTTATTATACTAAAACTTAATTATTTAACACACATTAACACTAATTATACTGTGTAAAGCCGTATATTGCTTTATGGATTTAAAGGAGGTTTCCAATTGTGCATGGAAATAATTTAAAAAAACTCAATTGTTAAGCTCAATTGTTTAAATTGCGCATAAAAACATGATTTAAAAACAATTCTTTGAAGATATAGCTTAATGGAACCAGAAAATAACCGACAAACAGTTTGGCAACTTACCTTGTGTAACTTTTCATACAGGCCACAGGCATTGCAAACAGCTTCACCCGAAAAGCTTCTCCTCCATAACGTTGTGTTCGGACACTCACAATTTTGGCACACTTGATTTCGAGCATTGGCGATCGCCTACAAAAAGAAAAAGAATTAAAATAATGGATTTCCTATAATTACTTTTAACTAATTACAGAAGTCCTCAATTAATGCAACTCTTGAAACATCAAAATATTTATATGGTATAAACTAACAAATGAGGAGCTAACTAACAAAGAAGTTAACAAAATAAGTTAACTAACAAATGTGTTAAGTGAGGAATGCTTCTTTCTAAGGGGATTAATTAAGTGAAGAGAAGTTTTAAGACAAAATTTTGAGGAGTAGTCTTAATTATAATATTATATTCATGCGAAAGTTAGTTTTTCATTAATAAAAGGATAAATTTCTTGAAGAAAATAGGTGGATTGAAACTAATGTTTAAAAATAATTTTGTACAACAAATATATTTTTGTACAAATTAATGAAACATTAGATGAATATTAATGAATACAACAAGCAAATGAAACTTTAAAGTTCCATTAAATTTTAATTCATCTCAAGAGCTCTCATGTATAAGTTAGGTCCTAGTTTCATTCTCTATTTTTAAATTTTTATATATACTTGGCAGGATATGCTGTATACTGGGCGAGTCTAATATATACTATCAGGCTTGATCGACATTATTTGAATTAATAATTGCTTTAAAAAAATTATTGCTATTTAAATGATAATTTGTTTTAGAGAAAAATATTTTTTTTGGAGATTATATATTTATTTTTACAGTTGAGATTTATATTCTTAAGATAAAAACTTTAATCTAGAGAAATAATGATGAGAGTAATGCAAGTAAATTGTTAAAAATAGACTAAGAAAAGAAACAAATGTGAATTGAAGTACTGTAAAAATTTATAATCCTAATTTTTCATTAGCTGTAAGTAATTTGCTGTTCAAATATTGTATTAACTACTCTAATTTAGTTTTTTGTTTAAAAAAAAATACTTTTAAAACTTATTAAACATGCAGTTTGTGCATATAAGAAATAATAAGCCAAGAACCATTTAGAATTATATATTACTGTGAAGTTTCCTGATCTAAATTAAATTATTCTTCATTTGATAAACTAACAAATGGGCCTTTGTCTTTACAAACCCATGAAAGTATAAAGCTTGAAAAAAATTACTGATTCTATAATCACATTGATTAGTTTGCAATAATCATATAACAATTTTAACCTCTTAAATTAGAAATATCAAGTACTTAAGTTGCTTTAAGATAATATTAAATATTATTAATACACACGATCAGTGCTTTGATTGAAATGTGCAAAAAATGGAATAAAAAATCTGCTCTAAATTTTAAAAAAAATTCAGTATTACATGAAACAAATCTGATATTTTAGAGTACAAGAAATATCCCGATTTTTGCTAACTGGGAGAAACTGACAACACAACAAACGAACTTTGGTGCCCCCAGATATGGATAGGTGTGGGAGGGGACTTAAAAATCAATCATTTCGAACTTAACACCTATATAAGCAGTTCTCCACACTCTGCCCAGGGAACCTCCAATCCTATTATCGGGGATTATTAAGTGATGGACCTTCCCAAACGAGAAAAAAAAAATTTCTCCAGAGAATAATGGTACGTACCGATTGTTTCTTTCTGGTCCTCTTTGGAGCTGGTTCTTCAACCGGTGTTTGGACTGGAACAAGAGTTTGATTGGATTGCACGTAACAGGTAATACACAAGTAGTGTCCAGTCTCCTCTTTCTGACACTGGGCAATGTCCATAACACAACCACACTTGACGCATTGGGTCCTGAAGGGTTGAGGCTGAGCAGATGAATCAGACGACGGATGAAACTGATGATGCTCTTTTATTTCATAGTTACCTGGAAACATTTAAGAAAATTTAAAATCCAAACTTCTCAAAAATTAACTTCTGCTAAGCGGGACAGTAGGTATAAATAGCTGAAAATAACCATATAACAGTTCAGAGTTAACAGTACAAAGTTAACAGTAAAGTTAAATAGTTACGTAACGTAATAATTAAAGTTTGAACACCAACTTTACAATAAATTTATACACAAACTTGAATAACCATATAGAATAATAGAAATAACTTCGCAAAATTTATATCTTTATTAATTTTACAAAATTTTGAGCCAAATATGCACTTGAGTTCAATTTCTGTGGTCAATCTCTAAATTGTTTTTCATTATTCATTTCTGTGAATTAAATTACAATTTTGAATTCATATTCCTCTTTTCTTTTCCAACGAAAAAAATTAAAATAAAAAGATTTCAATTTCTTAAGTAAGCACTGCTCATACACCCCTTTTGCCTCCTCCCTTGTCAACAAAAATGAACAAAGCACAAAACCTCCTCGCCCTGTAGGTTCTCGCTTAATATTTGAACGCCATCCAAGCTCTGCATTTATTATTGTTCACGCTAATTTCTCTCTCACAGAAATTAACATATATTCCTCTAAAATATTGTTGAGAAAAAAATTCAATAAGAACAGGAAAAAGGAAGATCCTAAACAAAAAAAATGGTATCCACCCCCCCATAAAATTCCAGAATACAAACATTGGGAATGCCGGCGCACCCAAGAATGATTCATAGAAGCAGGGGCACTTCCAACAGGTGAATCACTAATCACACAAAGTCGAACTGTCGCCGTAGGTACATAGTCTTGGCGACATATTAAAATAAATACCAGTTCCTTCCTTTCATTCACTGCAATTGTCAAGGTGTATTGTAAGTTAGCATCTGGAAGAGATCTCGCCAGATTTAGAAAGAATGAAACCGTTTTAGTGTAGGTAAGCGGTTCTCAATTGATTTGCCTCACATTCGTGGCATTCTTTCCTTGCAAACCAGGATTTCATGACTAAAAGTAGTAAAGGGATTGCAAACAAAAAGCGGAGAATGTTCCAAAAGTCACACGGTGCAAGAAGGATGTGCGGATCATTCGATGGCATGATAGAATAGAAAAATAAATAAGATCAGGAACATGGTTTAAAGTTAAGTGTCTGGGAAAAAGATTTTGATTTCTGCTGAGCTTCAACGGGTAATTGCCTAAAATGGCGTAGAAAAAAAAGATGAGTTTTTAAGAGAAATTAAGACAATATAAAAAAAATCGTTTCAAATTTATCTAATTACCAAGTTTTAAATTGAAACAGGCGAAAAAAAAGCCCTAAAATATCTGCATAATAGCAAAAAACTAGCCATCCTTTGAGCGGTAAGTCTTAAGGCAAAATTTTACTGAATTATTCCAGCTTCTCACCTCTTTTTAATTAGATAAAACAGAAAAATCGAGTTTTCTGAGTCTTTAACTTTCAAGTTCGAAAAATATCGGAACTAACCCTCAATTGCTTAACTTTCGGCAGGACGACAAATAAAAGAACATTATAGAAAAGTCAAAAGTATTGAGAATGGCTTAACATCTCTAAACTAAAACAACTTTATGTTCTCGAGGTAATAAAATCAAATGTTGTCATGAACTTAGTCTAAGCAAAAATCGAAAACAACATACACTAACATCAGTTGCTGATATAATAAAAGTAAAAAAAAGGTTTGATAAAGAATCTGAAGCTTATGAACATTTTACATAACATTACCTGATTTCAAGGCAATTAATGTAGGAAGAAATATTTAAACCTTTGTATTCTAGATTTTAAATAAAATCTTCACTGAAGTTCAAATTATTGTTATTTTAATCAATAGATCGAAATTATTAAAGCATGGTTATTAGTATTATTAGGTTCAATAAACATAATCTTAAAAAAAAACTGCCATTTAGCTAAAGAAAAGAAGAAGTCTTACTCAGCGGAGGGGAGATGATTAAAAAAAAATATCGTTTTAAGTCAGTAAAAAAATATTTAAAAGAAAAAGTTTTGTTAGTTACTTTTCCAAATGGTTGAAAATTTATGTTATTAAAGTTCAAAAACATTCATAATTTCAACAAAAAAAAATAGCTAAAAAAAAAACAGCCATTCTGTTAACAGGAAGAAGAAATATTACTCCAATGTGGGAGGGGGGGGTTGTAACTCTGAGGTTAGGTTAAAGTAAAATATCGTAATCGAGTTGAATCTTCAAAAAAAAAAAAAATTATCGAAAAATTTATTATTTTCTTTTAATAAAATTTCATTAAAAAGAAAAAAAAATTTTTATTTTCCAAAATCCTTAAAATTTTATGAAGAAATTTCAAAACCATCATATGTTCACCTTCATAATTTAAAAAAATATTTGCTTAAAAAAAGCCACTTAGATAAAGAAAAGGAGAAATATTACTCAGTTGAGGGGGGGGACTAAAAAATATCGTATTTAAATCCTTAAAAAGAAACAAATTCTCGTAGCTAATTCCCAAAATCGGTCAAATTTTATGATGAAATAGTAAAACTGTAACAATCAAAGTTTGACAAGAACAAGAAACTACATCCTTGTAACAAATGCAATGTTAAATAATAAATATATGGAAAGAAAACTAATTAGAAAAAAAAATTACAGATACACACTAATCAAAATCTTGATTTCTTTAAGTTTTTTTTTTCCAGAAATTCTCCCCATACTTCCCATTCAAGATATTGAATTATCTTAAAATTACAAACCACTCTAGAATATTATAAACAAATTTTCTAAAAAGCACTTAAAATCCAAGAAAGGAACCTCTAAGCCGAAAATAAATAACAGTTCCTTTCAAACAATTCCAAACTTCGTCGGCCGTTAATGCCAAACTTAATATTTTCATCGCTGAGGAAAGTGGGGTAAAACGGGGTACCGTGACCCGGGCAAACTTTATAAATCTCTCATCCAGAACATTTTAGTAAATACGAGAAGTGGATGTAACAGATCTTACGACCACCTCGCAGACGATTCTCCAGCGAGGGGTGATGACACTTTGTTCCAACCCCCTTGAAGTGTTGACATATACACACGAGGGACATAAACTGTGATGCGATTTTTTTTCTCCTTTTCTTCGTGTTTAGAATTCGAGAATTATAAACAGAATACTTTTGTTTTCACTACTGAGGGAAAACTAGGATTTTCGGATAATTGGACGAGCGTTGTAAATTGTTCAATGAAACTTTAATTCATCTAAATTACAATTACTTAAACGCTTCAAAAATTACCGCGTATCAATGACTAAATAGATAGGAAACTAAAACTATAATGAATCAATGGTTAAACGTGTTTGCTAAAAGTAGCCCTTCAAATAATAATCTTCTAAAGGGTTTAGGGGTTTGTAAGTTGTCTATTTTTGCTGACAAAAAGGGAAAAAAGGAGTTGAGTAAAGCTTATGCACAACTTTAAAATACTCGTATTTTTTTATTTATTTTTTATTAAATGCAAAATATATTTAACAAAAAATTTAGATTCAAAAAAATTACACTTGGAAAAATTTCAAATTTGGAATAAAAGTTGAATCTTGGGAGAGAAAATATTACAAAAAAATTTCTTCCATTCGTTTAAAAATGTTACAAATGAACTTTTCAACGTGAACTTTGTGTTATACAAAGAGTACTCTTTTACTTGAATATAATTCAAAAATTCTAAAAAGCCAAATTGAAAGAAATTATCATAAATCAATGAATCATTTCATTTGAAATTAATAACTAAATAAAGTGTTAGAATACTGGATTTGTATGGAAAAAAATTTAAGCGATAAACTTTTAAATAAAGAAATCAAATGCTGAACTTTCAAGCAAAGAGCTTTCCTGTAGTGCACTAGTTTAAAAGAATGAAAGGTTCTACTTTAGATACTTTAAATGCTAGACTATGCTTTACTATAGATACTTTAAATGCTAGGCTATGCTTTACTATAGATGCTTTAAGTGCGAGAATCAAAGCATGTGGCTCACAATCAAAGAATACAAATATCGGACCTAAAGACAAATAATATAAATACTGGACTTACCGGTTATATCATTGCTGTTTCCACTTTCATTAGACGAATCCAACACTTGTAATTGCCTTAAGTCCGATGGAGGAGTGAGGGAAGGTAGAGAAGCAGTTGGTGACGACACATAACCCTCGTCCTTATTACTGTTAGTTAATAAGTCTGCATCCATCCTAAACAAAGTAGGCTTGTAATCATAATTCAGCAAATCAGATGAGACCGAAAATGCCGGCGTTGGTTCAGCAGGTTCAATAACTTCAGCCGGGGACATAGAATAGTAAGTAGGTGAGGTATCTGAACAACCATAACCATCCAAATCGTTTTGATTCATCCAAATATTGTCCATTACTTGAGGGGTATACGGTCTTGGATCGATATACGACGACAAAGGCTCCGACTTGATAATTTGTGAAGTATAAGGAGGTGGTAACGGGAGAAGTGGTGGAATATCAGGATCGGAAATAGGTGAGAACATGTCTAAAGAAAATGTAATTAAATATAATAAATATCACTGATAGTTACCAAAAATACATTAGAAAATTTTTAATTTGACAAATCCATTACTGAATTTCAAAATAATATTGATGAATTTTTAAATTTATATCATACACCATAGAATTTATAATTATTTAGTAAAGCAAAATCCATACCCTGAAAAAGTGGTTAAAATTATATCGTTGATAGTTACCAAAAATACATTAGAATTTTAATTTAACAGATCCATTATTGAATTTTAAAATAATGCTGTTGAATCCAATATATTGATATCATACACCATAGAATTGATAATTATTTGTTAAAGCAAAATCCAAACCCTAAAAAGGTGGTTAAAATTATAAAACTTGCATGATTAATAATAATTTCACTGACTCCAATAATGATTACAATGCAATGATTAAATGCAATTTAGAAAGTAAAATCAATATATTAAATGAACGGTTGAGGTCATAAATCTTTTTGCATGTAGTAGACTTCATCAAATTCAATTTATACAATTTAATACCTTATCAAATTCAATACGTCTTTCTAAGGTATTTAGTTTTAAAATAACATAATTACAAATTTTTTTAAATATGAATGCAAAACCATACTTAAAGGATTGAATTAAACATAAGAAAATTAAATAAAAAAAAATACGTTAACATTTCTATTATCTTGTTTTGTTTAATAACTCTTATTAATCTTTTGAATATTTATGTAAGATTTAAATGTATTCTGAAACTTATGTACCAAAATTTTAAGTAATAATTCAAATATTTATTTAAAGATTAAAATACCATAATTGATCAAAGTAAAAATTTGAAAAAATTCAAAACACAAGATAACAAAATATTAAGATAAATCGTATTAGGTTTCAAACTAGGCTAATAAAAACAATTAGGACATAAATTTATAGGGAGAAAACATATTCTTTCGTAATCTAATTATTAATTAATTAGCAGTATGACCAAGCAACACTAAGATGCAGCAGATTTAAGTCTTTATCTACCTTAACTATCTATATATTTTGTTCCTCAATAAATAAATAAAACCAATTTTTAGATAAGATAGAACCATAAATAAGAAAAGTCAAAACTTGCTGAAAAATACCATAGAAATTTGGTCGTGGAAATAAAGGTGAATAGTTCATTTTACTTATGAATTAATTATTTAAAAAAAAACTAAGCTAATTAGTAAGGGTCCAAAATTTAATTTAATCTGAAATTTCTATTCTCCCTAAATATAAATTTTAAATAAAATTAGGAAACAATTATGGCTTTGAATTTTATTATCATTTCTATTTACCTTTAAAACCAAAGGAAAAAAATATTATCCTAGAATTTTTTTCTTTAGTGGAATTGCCAGCATGGATAGAAAAAAAAATCCAACTGATTTTACAAAATAATATAAATTTCATGATAATCATTGCTCAATGTTTGATAATTATTATGGTCATGATAATTATTGTTCAATTTTACACATAGGAAATTTTAGAGATTTTTATAGTCATTAAATAGAGAAAAAAAACTGCAATAGGTTTTAGTTATGATTGACATTAAATGAACTTGAAATGCTGTGTTATGCTTACTCATAATTTTGAATATTAATAGGCACTTAATTAATCAGAGATAGTTAAAAGACTTTTAAAATAATTTAAAAAGGGAGTCTAGAATAAAACAATCTGAACATTTTAGAACTGATGATTTCAACCTTCTCTATAACTGAGCCCCGCTTCTATATCTATCAGTAATACAGATTTAAATGTTCAAGCAAGCAATAATAATCAGAGGAAAAATGCTTTTTCTTAATACACAGTAACGTAAATCATTTAAATTCATTAAAGTTTAAATAATTACTTTAAACTAAGCAAATGTATCCATTTAATTAACTGAAATAAAAATAAACTAAATGGTTCTAACACGTGGTAGTAGTTTACACAAAATAATTTCGCAATTTAATTCGCTTATAAAAAATCAAGAAGGAGTCTAATACACAGCAACGCAAAGTATTTAAATTTGTAAAAGTTTAAATAATTATTCAAAACTAAGCAAATGTATTCATTTAATTAATTAAAATAGAATAAATTAAATGTCTGTAACACGTGGTAGTAGTCTACCCAAAATAAGTTTAAAAATTAATTCGCCATTAAAATTCAAGAAAGATCCTAATACACAGCAACGCAAATAATTTTAATTTAAAAAAGTTTAAGCAATTATTTAAAACTAAGCAAATGTATTCATTTAATTAACTAAAATAGAATAAATGAAATGGCTCTTACACGTGGTAATAGTTTACCAAAAAAAAAAAAAATCTTACCATTTAATTCGTCAATAAAAACGCAACAAAAAACTTTATTAAGTACACAGGTCGGTAGTTATACATTAAAAGTCAATTATAAATTAACTAATTAATTAAAAATTAGCTAAGCGCGAACAAAATTGTAATGAAATATATAAATTTACTCATTGGAGATTTGTGTGGAAATTTATCAATTATCTACAATCTAGCAATTATCTATAAATCGAAAGTCTATCAAATATGAAATTTATATTTAAAAACAAAGTATTTGACTAAAACTAACAATTAAGATCAGAAATAAAAGCAGATAATACATCAAAATAAGCACTTACCGAAATTTAAAAGAAAAAAGCTCCGGAAATTTTGATATCCAAAAAATATCACTACTATCAATACAACACTTGATGAACAACAACTACCACAGCTAACGAGTAACTGGCAGTGGAATGGGTTGCTTAAATAGAGTCCCCCTATTAGGGGTGTCAGGAGTGAGACATAGGGAGTGGGGAGACAGCACGCCAATGAAATCTCAGGCCCTGTCGAAGAGGGTACTTAAATTTGATGAATAACCCACACACCCCATTCGATTGGTTTTTCCTCTAAGAAAAGGGAGGAATTGTTTCTTATAGGGCTAAAAATGAATATTCCACGATCGAGTTTTTCAGGGGGGTCTGAGGGACTAAAGTAAAACGGTAGAGTGGGGAGGTAAGGAGAAATGTACAGAACGGAATGTTAGACAGGAGTGTACAAGGACATTGAAGGTCTGGGAAAAGAAAGGAAAGTAATAAAGGGTGATGTAATCACAGGTGGGGTGTCTAGTTGAAATGTTCGATTCTGGAATTTTTCACAATGTCCATCTTACATTCAGATAACATTTAAACAGATTGCACTGTAGGCCAGAAGACCATAACCAAAAGTGAAAAATTAAATTTTCAACTAAAATATGTGTAGACAGTTTTGATATAGCCCAAATTAAGTATTCATTATCATTCCAAACTTTATAATTTACTTTTTGGACCGACGAGAGTACAATGTAATGAAAAATACGTTTTTTTTTTAATGTAACTTTTAAATTTTTATTTCAGAAATATATATAGGAATTTCACCTTACTGTAACATTTTTATCAGAGTAATTAGTCAGAAATTATAGTATAATTTTTCAATTTGTTGGATTTGTTAATACTTTTGACAAACTTATTGTTTATATCTTATCATTTGACATTTTACAATATTTGAATGACTTCTGAAACTTAGTTCTGAAAAATTCCACGTGGTAATTAGCTAAACTTTTTTTCTTGTTGTCTTCTTTGATGTTTCTTCTTTCGAAAAAACCTGCCATATTTTGCCCGTATTACAATGGTGGATTAGATATACTGAAAAACAAAAATTATACTTTTTTTCATGTTTTCGCGTTATTTTGTTTTTTTATTTTTACTTCGGAAATATAATTTGTTTTTTATTTTTAAAATAAAATTACGAAAATTATTCTATTTTCATTTCTATATTTAATTATCTAAACGTACTATATTATTATTTTTATTTTTGCTCCCCATATTTCTGCCGCCATTTTGTTTTTTAGGGTATTTTTAGTGTATTTCAAAATTTCAACTATGTATTCAATTTACCTGCATATAAAAACTGCTAAATAAAAAAACCCAAATTTTGAAACAAATTTTATCGAATTATTAATTTTGGTCACAAAACCTTAGATGCTGGCCCACTGTGGATTGCAAGGAGAAGTATTAAGGTTATTACCATGTTAATTTCATATTAAATATTTCTATTTCATTTCTTCTTTTTTATGAGTAATTAGAATTAAAAATATTTTTATTCTAAATCGCACATTATTACATAATAGTTGAAGAAGAACATTTTAACTAATGTATTTGAATAAAATATTGAAACTATGGAAAACCATCTTTGGAAAAGTGCCAAATAGGGTTATCTAGTTTGCATACACATAAAAATCGTATAACAAGGGAATTTATTTGGTAAAACTTCATGGACTAAGAAACTTTTACATTTGTTTTATTTCTAAATAACTTTGAAACTTAGTTCAATAAATTAGGTTTTGATCCTAAAGGTCCTTTTTGATCCTCAATAAATTAGGTTTTGATCACAGTGAGTGATGTATGAAACTCATTAGGATAGTTTTAATCATTGCAATTTTTATTTGTAACTACAAGAATGCTTTCCATTTCAGTGTTTAATTTTTGTAACTTCATTCCTAATTTTAAGGTTCATTCGCGAAAAAAAAATAGTAATTGCTTTATTAATTCTCTGTCACTTCACTGTTCGTACTAAAAATGTTTCAATCACCGTATAAATTTAAAATCATCAAATCAATTTGAAAATCGTCGAAAACTCAAAATTTTGAGCTAAGAAATAATTATTAGCTATTATAAATATGAGGTAATTATAAATAAAAGTATACATAAATATGCAAATAATCCCTCGATCATGTTCTTTACTCATTTTGACATTAAAGTCCCTGTTTGTTCTGACCATGGTGTACTACTGAAATAATAGTATGTCATGGATTTGAGTATTACTCACAAAATTCCTAACTTTTAGTGTAGAAAATCATTGATATAAATATTGAATCATCATTAATAAAAATATGTAAAATTACTATTTATCCAATCTGTTTATTTCTCAAATAATAGAAAATAAAAATTAAAAACGATCATCGAATAGAA